ACCGCTGGATTACTGTAAAGACCCCAGTGAAAAACAGAGTTGCTGCTTTCAGGAACTCTTTAGTTAAGCAAACGGTTCAGGAGGAACTTTGTGGAGAAGACATTTGCCCCTCAGATTATTCTGTGGGAGGTGTCGGCCTTGGAGAAGTGGAAGAAAATGTAGAGATGAAATGTTTTCAACTACGATCATGAAAGTGTATAACAGATACAACCAGCTGTTAACTGAATAAAACAGGATATAAAGTTTTCACAAATAGATATTTTTCATCACTCGTTCATGATTTAAAGTTTAGAGGATCCAAGAGAACAGAAATATTTATGCATGTGAATCTAACTGTGATGTATACACAGAGTATGTGTGAGAACCTGATCTCTGAAAACAGACACAAACAACAGCACAAAGTGAAGTTACCTGGAGAGATCACCGTCAGCTGCACCGCTGGTTGGTTATTACACAGGTACGCTCCAGAGTCTGACGCTGCAGGCCTCAGGATGATCAGCCACTGATCAGCTGATGATCTGAATCGTGTGTCATTGATGTGTCTCGTCTCTCTGTTACCATCAGCGGTGAGGATGTCAACTATCCTTCCTCTGTTCTCTCTGCTCCACGTCACCTTACCCTCCACAGAGGGAGGACAGCGCAGGGTGACGGACTCCTTGTTTCTGATTATTTCATGTTTGATTCCTGCAAAACACACAACAAAGACACATATACATTATATATACTGCATATATGTCCCTACACTGGCTCTTGCTTTGTCTTGATGATGCTTTTAAAACAACCGTGATCCCAAAGTTAAACCCAAACTCAGCTTTGACCCTGAACACATCTCTGAGCTTAATAGATTTTCTTTTCCAGTCAAATATCTCAAATATTCCCAAATGTGTTTGAAGTCTGATGTATTTAGATCGACATATACAAACACACCGGTTAACACTGATATATAAAAAACAGCTGCTGGATTATCTGGATGAAACTCTGAGATGTTCTTACCTGCTGTGATGTTACAGCGCAGAAAAAAGGCAAAGAGGCAGCAGCAGATACTCGCTCTCATCATGGTCACGACTCGGACATCAGCAGAAGGTTGAGCAGCATTTATCTCTGCTGGAAGAGGAACTCAGCCGACAGCGTACAGGCCGGCCTTCTTTTGTGGTTAATGAGCACTGATGAACTTCCTGTTAGAGCTCAGTGTGAAATCATATTTCTCATCATGTAAGACGTCCAAGGACGCTTCCATTTTTAGTCCCTGACCACTGATTCGTAACAAAGGGAGTTTTTAGAAAAAGCTGTTTATGGAAAAACTGAAGAAAGAAGGTGTCACTGCGGCGCCGTAGCGAGGCTCGTCATGAATGACTGAGCTGTTATCATGTAGCATCATCATGACTTTGAACAAAGGTTCAGAGCAACGTGACAACAACTCGTGAAACACTTTGAATATTGTAAATTTCTTTGTTTCTGAGCCTCGTGTGGAGCCACAGACACAAGCTGGCTGATACAGCATGAGTCTGTCCAGAGTTTCACTGGACAGAAGACTTTTTCTGATGGAAGCAGATCGGCTGAGACG